TTCCCCCACACATGGGAAATTCTGAGTTGAACAGTTAAGCTGGCTTCAAGCTGCCATAACAGTGCAAGTGGATTGCATCAGTGCCTAGAATCTGGGCCTAGGAGTCTTCCTGTGTAAAGACTGATTTTAAAATGAGTAAAGAATTCAGGGTTTGGTATAATGCTGTTTTCCAATAACATTGTTGAAACAGCACTATGACATTGGATACATTGTTTTCTTTCTTTCCTTTTTCTTTCATCATCAATCACTTAAAAATGCTTTATACCAATTACCAGACCGAACCTTTTTCAATACAGAGTTAGAGCAGTGGTGGGCAACCTGCAGCCCGCATGCAGCCCATCAGGGTAATCTGGTTGTGGGCCATGAGACATTTTGCTGACATTGACCGTCTGCAGGCACGGCCCCCCCACAACTCCCAGTGGCCGTGGTTCGCCACCCTGATGGGCTGCATGCGGCCCGCAAGCCGCAGGTTGCCCACCACTGAGTTAGGGTCATATATATATATATATATATATATATATCATTTAAACATTTCAAAATATCAAAAGAATACTGTATTTGAATATTAGAAATGAAATATTTGAAAGTTTACGAATTCATAGATAATGTTTGACACACATCATTAACTTCACACTTGAATCTCCATATATAGACAACATAAAAAAATTAGAATCTGAAACCTATAAAATAACCCTTCCATAATTTTAATTATCCACATCCACAATCAATATAATTATCAACAAGCAACCTTAATACATTAACTCATATACATATATTCCATATATAAATTGTAAAAATCAATGTCTTGCAATTATTAATAATATAATCATTATAGAAAACACCAGTGAAAATAGAGCTCCTTGTTTAAAATAATTAGAAATAGCACAATAATATAAAATCTTTGACTTGTGTAACTAAGTGTTATGCATTTAGAAAATATAACAACTTAGATGTATAACACTGTAAGAAAACACAAGATCAGTTTGTCTTAAATGCTGTTAATTATAGCAAATGAAAGGTTGCTGATACAAAATATTAGTACTAAATAATCTTTTTAAGAAAAAGGTTGCACATCATTTTATATCTTAATTGCACGAGCAATGGAGAGTATATCTTAGTAATTTTAAACCTTGGTGTTCATAGTGCAAGGCTGCCATATTTAAACTGATATACACATTTTACAATGCAATCCATCTGGTTCAGTAGAGAATTTATTCATTTATTTAGTACAGAATCAAAACCATTAGGCATTAATTATTTTAGTCAGTGTAGATTACAGGAGCAACGTTGTATTTTTTCAGTCAAACTTGAATTAGCGGCTGAGGACTTCTCACTGGCTGACTTGGCTCATCACCAGAAGCCAGACTATTACAATGAGTTTTAAGTACCAACACAAGGCTCAGAGCTAATGAATAATAAAGAAATGTGCATGTTGTTCTTTGTCACCAAGTGTTACCAAATCCCCCCAGATACCTATACAGGGCTAAGCTATGGAGCAACAGCATTTTATGAATCCACTAGCATACATTAATTCTACAGGATTTTAAAATTGAATGAAAGAAAACTTCAGGCAGTATCGATCATTAATTACAGGGTGGATAAAGATCAAGTTCTCTGTCATTAAATTGCTTCTACAGAACCACAGCACTGTGCCGACATCAGCACCATTAAAAGCAGTGAGCCCAGTTAGGAGACATGTTTCTTGATGCATGTACCTAAAGTGACAAGATTCTGTCTGTAAAGCTAGCACATCATTCATATTGCCTTCACTTCTTGTTTTTTCTGTCTATCACCAGATCCTGGAACCTCCAGTGCTCAAAATGGGGCAAATCTTTAGCTGATATAAACTGTCATACCCTCATTGACTTCAGTGAAGCTGTGACAGTTTACACTAGCTAAGAAGTTGCTCCCAGTTTTGTAGCTATATATATATTATAGCCTTCTTATTTTACATGTAGTAAATCTGTCCAGATATTACTACCATCTTTAGAGTAAGATGCTTCCAGCTGCTGATTTACTCCCTTTCAAAAATAAGCTTTCACAGCTGTGACTCAGGAGAGTCTACAGCTTTTCAAGCAGCACTACATCTTATGTTTCTCACATGACATCATGGTTGTTGGCTTCTGTTACAATCAACAGAAGGTATTCTTCATTGAGGAATTTAGGCCTCATCCAGGTGGTCTAGAGGGTGAAGAACTTAATTCGCCCTTCACCAAGACAAAGATAACACCTTGGCTAAAATGGAGGAGACAGGAGATTCAGCCAGATTTCTGGGTTTGACTGAACCAATTAATAAGTCCCAAGTGGAGCTACCATACTATCAGTTGCATTAGAGACATTTTCCCTGTTGTCCTTAGCAGTGACAAAATATAAAGGGCATCTACAAATGAGCAACTTTGGCTCCTGCTACCTGGACTCATGTCATGCATAATTTGAGGTTTAACCAGAAAGAGCATGGAACTAATTCCCATTGTTCCTTCTAGTTGTCATTAGCTCCCCTTGTAAAACCATTAGCCAGTTTCCTCCATGTCTGACATTCCAACATGTCATGTTAATATGACCTTGAATTTATGGAAGCGAGACTGGCAATGCCCTTCAATATGAATTTGTTTCTCATCCCAACCAACTTCTCACACAAAGTCTGCTTTTCAGGAACCCTTCTCACAAGTTTCTGTTAGGATATATTTCCTAATCTTTATCAATAGAGTCTGTTACAATGAATCACAGAGGCCAGGATTTCTTTTCCCATTATCTTTTGATTCTAAAATATTCCAGAAGCTTCTTGCCCATTCTAGACTTTGGAAGTTTGAACAGATTTCCAAACAGATCATATTCTTTCAATCATTTCAATGTCAGAATCCTTTCCCTTTTCCCTGAACTCTGATTTGATGTTATTGGCCTTTGAGATTCTTGCTTCCACACATTAATTCAGAAATCACAAAGGAAGTATCTTTACTCTCTGGTGATGTAGGTTTTTACCAAAAGCCTGTCCACGGTAGCTACAGATTTATCCATACTTAAAATGATGATTCATGTGAATCATGACACAATCCCAGTAGTGATACAGACATGCCTGTATATTTTTCTGGGTCTATTGAGTACAATGGAGAAATCTTCATTCATTTTAGCATCTTACTTCCATAGTGACAGCCCTCTACCCACAGCAACAGCATCATCCCCAGAAAAGCATTTTCAGGGTATTCAAAGAAGAGATGAGCATTCAGTGTCAAGATTGGCACCAGGATTACAAGCAAAAGAGGCAGATGTGAATCAAGGAAGAAGATAGAGATGTGTCTGAGGATGCTTCTCTTGCCTAGAAGAGCACTTCTCTCTTTGATATGTTTAGCTTATTTGCGTATTCAATTTTGTGAGTCATTCATCTGGCATTGGCAGTTTCCCTTCCTCTAATCTGAAGTAAGAGTGCAGCTAATGCTAGAAAGTTTAGAAACTATTTTACACTAGCTTCAATACAGCCTAAGAGCAACTTGTGTGTAGGACTGAGCTATTCTTAGACTTTCCATTAGCCATTAACTTATAAGGAGAAACAAATTATCTAGAGAACTCTCTTTCAAGTCTATGAAGTGGGACCAATATGAGGGTCTAACTCAGCGATGGGCATGCTTGCTAGGGCCAGCCGGAGATTAATCTATTTGCATTGAGATCAACAACAAATGGTACTGGTTTTGTGCTAAGGTAGGCGGAAGCTAAAGAGCACTATTGGATTCCTTCTTGCTGACTGGAAAATTTATTTCCTCATCCACCAAGTACTTTTCAGTTGAGACAAGAATGAGGCCACCTGTGGCTCTGGCTTGTGTTGCCTGCATTTGCTGCTCAGATCTTCTAATATCCTTTTCCAATGGGTTAGGTAGTGCAGCCTCCTGATTCTAATTTTTTTTTCCTGACACTGGTTTCTGAGTGCCATCCTTATCAATAACCTGTTCTTCTGTGTTTTTCTTTAGGCTCCATAATTCTTCTGGGACAACAATTTCACAAAAGAATAGATGTTTAGGATGCACTCATTTTTTATATTAAGATAAAGTATTTCAATCATTTCTGGTGCCTCTTTGTTATTCCTGGAGAAAAGTCCATAGGAGATTTGATCTTGATATTTGATCATTCACATGGATTACTAAGTGTGTTGCATTTTCTATCAAAAGGCTCACTTGTATGTACCATATAAGAAAGACTCAAGTAGTTCTCTGCCAGCCATCCCCCATCAATTTTGTTAAATATACACTCATCACTATTGTCATAGCATTCTTCTTTCTGGGCAAGGACAGATGGGTGGCATTATCACTGTAGAACATCAGTACTTTTGCAAAGGTTCATTTTCTACAAAAGAGCACTGGTGAGGCCTCTGTAACATTCCAAGCTTCAGGCAGCCTGAGACGCAAAACATCAGACCCAAAGATTTAATTTGATAAAACAGGCACTAATCAAGGAGTCAATGAGCCATCTCATTACTTTGTTTACTTTATAATTTATTAGTTATATTGAAAATATTTTTGTTTTTGCCAGTGAATCATCATAAGACCTTATCTATACATAATAATTAATAATAATATCTTTATATAGTTAGTTAAGTAGTCCTTTGCTATAAGGTTTCTCTCTTTAAGTTCATATACGCTGAATTCCATTTAGGAATTACTTCATTTTTATCCATTAGGACACATTCTACACATACATTTTGCACGCATTGTAATTGTTAGAGGTTTCAAATGGCATTCATTGGAAATGGAAGGTGGAGAAATATAATCTTATAACAATCTGCCTAATAAAGGATGCAGTATTGTATTTTAATGTTCATCAATAATGCTGGAATATTGTTTCCTCAGTTATTATTTATGGTTCTAATGCATGTTTGTGTATACCATCGGGCTTTTATGATTGTTTCACTGCATGCATTAATTAAAAATATATTCATAGGAGAACAACAGTAGTCTCTTTAGTTGAATTTTACATATTTTATGGAAATGTGTTTATTGTATCTCTTTATGCAGGTTTGTGTTCCAGATGAATATAATGCAACATTGGGAAGAAGTGCAAATAAGCAAGTATTTGAAGGTTTAACAACTGGACTTCTCAGAATCATTGCTGTGGTCTTTGGGTGTCTGATCTCCAGTCTACCAGATGTAAACAATCAGCCCACTGCACCTAAAATAATACAGGAAGTGAAAAACAAGCCCTCAAAAGTTGAGGCCTTTAACAGCAGGGTTCAGGACCTGATCAGGTAAAAAAATATGAAATATTTTTAAACTTTTTTTTTATTTTAGTCAAAGAAAATTGCAAAGAACTAGCAATGGTAATAAGCTCCTCTGAACCTAACTCAATAAGACTAACACCTATGTATGGTTCAGAAGACCACTCAAAGGCGCTATATATATATATATGTGTGTGTGTATATATATATATATGTTTTCAAGCAAAAATGCTCTTTCAGAAAAATATGGGACAAATTCTGCCCTCAAATATACATGTAAACTGAAGTCCATAGAGATTTGTGCATTTATCTAAGTGAAAAATTTGGCCCTGTGATTGTCCAACTTTCTCTTCTGATGTTGAGAAGTTCTCCAACCGCAAAATACCTCCTTATTGGCACAGGAGTAAGTAAAATTTACTGCAATAATATCACTGTCAATAAACATAGAATAAAGGCAACTAATGTACAGAAAGTCAGAACAAGTTTTCATGGAGAGTATAAAACATTCTCCAAATTATGCTAAACCTCTTTTTGAAAAATGCTACTATTTGCTCTTAATTGCTGCTCTTGATTATTGTTTCTAAATGTTAACTACTTGCTATAGTACAGAAAGAAAGTTAGTGGCAGGACTTTCCATAGCTTTCATTCATGCATGAATTATTCTTGTATTTGCTAGTAATTTACATTATGCACTTTACCATTTGTCTTTTATTCTCTGTAGAAATTTATGTCTCTCAGTGATGTCTGAAATATCTTCATTTTCCTTTTTCTTTTTTTTTTTTAATCATGTCGGCTTAACGCACCTCACAGGATCAGTCCGCTAGTTTGTTTAACTGTGTTGGATTAACATCGCCAAAATTCTGCCTTTGTATATGCATGTTTCCTTTGTGTCAGTGGGAATCCTTGTATTATTTGGTTGATTGTTCTTTCTGTCCTTTTTTCTTAAATAAAGGTGACCAGAATTTTGCACAGTAAAAGTTCCTCTAGACAATCCATAGTTAGCAACTCTGTATATGGATCCTTACATTATTTTTATATAATATTTGTTGATTCCCAACAGTATACAAAGCACAACATAAAGACAGTCCCTGGCTATAAGAGTTTACAGTATAAAAACAGACACAGATAAGACAGTAGGAGACTTAGAGATCAATAGTGTTGCTTTTGTTTTTTAATATACAATGTGATTTGCCTTTCTTTTACTGGGCAAAAGCACTGTATTCCCATATTTATTTCTTTTAATACTGAATATACAACCATTACAGGTATAATACATTGTTCTTCCTTTTTGTTCTGTCGTCACTTCATATTTATCTACATTTACTTTCAAAAGTTCCTTATTCATCCACACACACACAGTCTATCCATGTTATTCTGAACTATGCTGCCCTTCTTCTTTCTATTGATTCACACATTCTTACTTAGTATTATTAGCAAGTTTCATCACAATGCTATATGTTCTTTCTTCTAAGTCATTAAATAAAGTGTCCTAATTAGTCCTAATATTAATCCTTGTTGCACTGAATTACTCAACTCCTTCCATCTTGGGTAGTCATTATTCCCAATTTCTTCTCTTTGATATCTAAGGAATTCTTTACTTACTCAGGACACTCCCTTAGTGAACTTTATCAGATTAGCCTTTGGTATGTTACTGTATAAAAAGCTGTCTTAGGACCCACTCCTGCCAGGTGGCAAGCACTCTCAATTCTCACTGATTTCAGTGGGAGTCGAGGACAGATAAGATTGGACCTTAATAATTAGATATCATTGGAGTAAGCTACGGACATTATTTAATTCCGTTTTACTTTTTCAAGTCTATGAGGTATGTCAAGGGTGATCATCTTTTTGAAAATCCATGCTGATTATTGACTAGCCTCAATTAAATCATAATATTCTTGATGTCGCGCTAGGTAGTCCCTGGTTATTGGTTTCATTATGTCCCCCTCGGGTCTATACTTTTCTAGATCTTCATAAATCTCTTCTCAGATCATAGTGTTACATTAGCCTCCTCCAAGTTCAGTACCTCTTATGTTTCCATAGAGGTTTCAGATCAATTTGCTAATGGGAATCCTATCTCTTTCTCTTTTGGAATAGACCCTGTGTGGTCCTAGATTTTAGCAGTCTACAGATCTTCTAATTTCATGGTCTCTTCTTCTGCTGAGACCCTGATTTCTTCTTCTATTTTTTTTCTCCCTTGGGGAATTTATCTGTTCTGAGCATCTGTCTTTTAACCTTTTTTGTGAGCACATGAGGCAAAGGATACATTTAATTTTTCAGTAAGGCCTACCTCTTCAGTTAATAAATTACCTTTTTCATCTCACAGAGCCTGTCTGTCTCCACCACTGACCTCTTGTCCCTTATGCACTTGAAAAAATTGTGATTTATCTTAACCTCTTCATATGGAATTTTGTTTTCATTCTCCTCTTCAATATTTTTTCAATTTTAGTACACTTTACTTTAATGTGTGTTTGTTGCAGACTTTCTCTTTGCCTTGCATTTTATATAATACTTCATAATATAACTCTTTCTTACCCTTAATTACTCTTTGCACTTCTTTGTTCATCTCCACTGACCTTTTTTACTCCTAGTATATTTATTGGCACACACAACATTTGGGTCCACAATAATTTACCTTTCTGCACTTTCCTTTTGCTTTTTGTTTCCTTGCCCTCAGTTGTTTTATCCTATTTAATTTCAGTAATTGTTTCTCCTTTTTCTCATAATGCCATGTGCTAAAACACAAATATATACATATTTACATATTTACATATACGTGTGTTGGGGGAGGATAGGTATAAATATACACACACAAACCATATTTTAGGAACGGTTGGTAGCACCATCTATTATTATTAAGGTTGCCTGACACATCCCAATATAAGACCCTGCTTTAAATTGCTTATAACTGTGCCATACTTGCAATTTGGGTTGCAATTTTCCATACCAGGTATCTGTCACATGCTGAATTGTGTTGGAAAATTTCAGCCCAAATGGTTCAGCCATTTCCAAGGAAGTGGTATGGAGAAAATATGTTGTTTTGACCATGCTAAAATATTCTGGCAACCTTTTCTTTTGGGAAGGTCTGGTGCCCCCTTCCTTTGGTGTAGCAACTTGAAATTTGGCAGATGGGCAACCTTTGAAAAATTGTAGCTTGCCCATGCTCTATAGCAGCTTGCTAGAACTTTGCAGCTTAATTCTCTGAACATTCTTTCTGCACTGGGCATGCTCCAGCCTGAGGCAACAGGAGGCTGAGCAGGAGGTTCCCTGTAGTTGCCACTTTGGGCTGCTGGGGGCTGTGCCAGAGCTGGGCACCAGAACAAAGAGTAGGAGGGCCTGTCTCTCCTGTACTCTTAAAGCCCCCTCTACTGATGGGCAGGAAGAGAGGAGAAAGCTGCCTGAATGGAAATCAAAGGGGACAAGAGCCAGACCTGGGGGATTCTAGCATTTTAAAGCTTTTGAGCACTTGACTTTGAAACCTTAATAATGTTTTTTCAACGTACTTTGTGTGTTACATACATGCGCACACACACACACTCACTATAGTTTATATGAATGACCCCGTTTTTAATTTCAATTCAGTCCTACTGCCATATATCACTATCAAAGGCATATGATGTTTTCTCATCTTTACATCAGTGATTTTGTTCTTTATATTTCTCAGAATGAAGCGGAATTGCTTGCTTGCTTTCCTTTTACATTTTAGGAACATAGAATTTTTTATGTCAAATCAGGCCATTGATCTGTTTAATCAGAAATCTTATCTCCTGCAATAGTTAATCCCTCAGGATGCAAAGGAAGCCATAGAAATAAAAAATGCACCTACTTACTTGTGCAATGCTTAACATAAGGGGGCAAATTCCTTTGACTCCTGTAGATCTTTTCTCACCCTAAAGGATGAGAATTGATTGTCATTATGTTAGCCTACATAGCTACAAATGATGTTAATACTTATGTAATTATCCAGCCCTTTATAAAATCCAGCCACAGTGTTTAACTCAATGACCTTCTGTGACACTGAATTCCACAGGTTGATTATACACAGTCTGTACTAGTTTTTACTTTTGTTGATTCTGTTCAAAGATTTTATAGACTAAATCACTCAGGTACTTTGTTCTTGAATGTATGACTTAATTTAGTGTTTCCTAAGTACTTGAAATATCTCATTACTATTTTTCTTTTTACAACTCTTTTTGGATTTGTTATTTTCTACAGATTAGTTATTTGAGAAGTTATGTGTTGCAAGTTTCTAGTCTACCTATTCTCTTTCACTTGAACCCAGACAGACTCTCAGCTGCCCATAGTTTCTTTAAGGTCTTCCTGTGTTATATGAACTTAACCATGTTTTTTTCTAACTCCTTGTCCTGTGTCCTATCCATTGAGCAATGCTGCCTCCTTAAACCATAGATGTGCTGTTAGACTATACTATTAAAGTTTCCCACAAGTAATGTAGGCACCCCAGAAACCTCATGAACAGTGAATATACATGACATATGTAGCATTCAAAGGTTAATCCAGCGGCTCCGCTTTTTTCTTATCCTAAATCTTTGGCTTTTTATTTTTAGTAATTAACCATCAGAAAGTATCTATTTCACTAAATACAGAATCCCGCCACCTGCCATTTCTATGTCATTCTCATTCTTTACTGTTCATTAGTTTAATGTCTTAACTAGGGTAGGAAATTGACATTTCTCTTGGAAAATGCTGGATTATTAACTTGTTTTGCAAATTAAGTAATGTCCTAAATATATAAAAATCATCAAGAATATTTTTATGCCACTACAGGAGTTGAATACTTATGTGATGGTACAAAAGTGTGGCAAAGGTAACATAAGAGAGCAAAGAAAATACTTTTTTTTTTTTAGTCTTAAACCCCTTGTACTTACATTTTATAATTAGTACATTTTAAAACTTTTTTTTAAGTCTGGTATAATGTTGACTGATATAAATCTAAGAGGACAGCTGTAGGAGGAAGGCAAAACAAACAGTTGTCATGGATACCAGTGACCTCTAAAACTTTATTGTTCACATGTAGCCCCGCCCCCTTCCCAAACGGGTTTTCAAAGAGTGTGAAATTTCAGGATGTTGTATTCTCCCCATATATGAATGAGAGGGTGGGAGGTCTGCTTATTGATATTTTGTACTGCACTGACATCTGAAACGGACAGGGCCAAACACAGGCATACCCCAGAGCTAAGAAGATACATGAGAATCAGAATAGGCTCTTCACCTGGGGCACTTTAAGGGATCTGATTCTAACAGGGGAATGAAAGGCATGGTGACAGAGTAATAGTGCAATTAGGAAAAAGGAGAGGGGTGGGTGTTTTAAATTAGCTACAAACAGATAAATTAATATTATTAATGAGAATCTTTCACCTTCTCGCCATTTTATCATGTCTCTTTTTGGAGATATTTAAACTAAGATGTTTGACTAAAAAAAAAGTGTCAGTGAAAATATTTGCAACTCTGTGGGAAAAGTTAATGTGCACTGCATAAGCAGCACTAATTAACTGCCACACAGTTTGTGTACCACAAGAGCAGCTATGCTGGGCAGAGATACTGGAACTACTCTACCATGGGAAAAATTTCTAACTAAAAGGAAACAGGGAGGGAAAGCAAAGCTTTGTAACTCTACTCAGCTGTATGCTTAGTTCCTGGGAAGAGAGTGCTTCATATCTCTCATGTTGCCCCCAAAGCCAATTAAGAAATGGCCCAGATAGACTGGGAAGAGTTTCCTCCATTTCTTCTCTGTCAGAAATATGATAGCTTACAGCACATTGCATCAAGGTTGGGCAATAAACTAAAGGGGACATGGAGGGATCCTTGGAATGCCAATAAGAATGTAGAGATTTCCCTGGAGAAAAAGGAAGAATAACATTGACCAGAAAATGTGTACCTTCGATAATAATTTATCATTATTAGCTTCAGTTCATCTCCTTCCCCTCCTGCTGCTCAGAGATAGACAGCACTCAGCATTTTACACATCTAACTCCCTAGCTGTCTCTTGGTATTTGCCTGCCAATATTGGAGAGCATGTTTATGACCTGTATTGCAGATGAATTGCTTAGATCAGAAATCTATATAATACTTACAACTTTTCACAAATTTACCTGAACAGTCAATCTGAGTGTAACTAATAATCTTCAGTCTTTTTTTAATAAGATTTTAAATGGTCTTTTAATACTGCAATGAGATCCCTACTTTGTACACAATGTATTTTTATTCATAATTACTCATATTGTTTCCAATAGCTGTCTGTTTTGTAAACTTTGGCAAAAAGTCTGGTTTCTAGCCCTGCAATTCTTAGGAAGGGGGTTTAAAAGTGGGGTGATATATCTGGGGAGATGATCTGGGGAGCAGCACTTTTAATGGAGTTGAAGGAGGTAAGATGACAGCAGCTGCAGCCAGAAATGATGAGGTAGGAGATGATCAAGGCCTGGACCAGAGTTTTAGCTACCACAACAAAAAAGTCATCTAACAGTAGAAAGCTGTTCTAATTGTTATTTGTTAGTCAGTTAATTGTTGCCAATAAAAAAAAGAATATGCAGTAGTCATTGCTGGTTTATGTTGTAATAAGATTGCATCTGGATAACATCATCTCATTCTTGTGTTATTGTGTTCTGGGAAGTTTTTCTCTTCATGTTAAAAAAAAATCATACTACTGCAAAAATATAGAGATTATTATAAATCATTTAACTATGGCAAAATTCCACTGTCCTTCTAAGAGTATGGTAAAATAAACATATTCATTCATCTTACTTGTGAAATATAATAGAAATTACCCTAAGATAGACAGATCTCTTAACAGAAACTTCTATAGCTATAGAGGGCCAAATCTAAGATTATTGCAACTTGAGCTACTTTATTTAACCTTTTATGTTTGTATAGTTGTGAATTCAAAACCTGCTTTTTATACAAGTTGACATTGATAATGATAATACTAAAAAAAATAATTCATTGAAACTGGCAGGGTGCCATATCTTAATACAATGTTTTTTCCCTCCACTTATAGTTATGTGGTGAATATAGGATTGATAGACAAGTTATGCTGCTGTTTCCTCTCCGTCCAAGGTCCTGTTGATGACAATTCAAAAATAGCTACTTTTCTGCAAAATGCTACAGCAGTGTTACATGGAATGTGTCAGCTCTGTTTTGCTGTCAGTGGAAAGTAAGTGCTCTTGCTATTATCATATCTGATTTGCTCTTTCACCTTTTTTTTAAGCATCTGAAAAGCAGCAACCTTTGTAGCCACAAGTATATCCTTCTTATGTGGAACTGAACATTCTAGGTGAAGTTCTAGAATAGAACTGCTTTTAGTTTAACCAAGGTTAGTATAGATGCTGGTATCAAAAGTTCACTGTGTCCACATTTTGGCTGTACAACTATATTCAGTTACCTGCAACCATCCTAGTAGTAAGTAATTTATCAGAATTACAAACTTTATCTCCTTTACTCATCATCATAGAAAATGTTTTATCACTAGTAATTTTAAGTAATCAGTCCTAAGGATTTCAATATATGTTTTATTAGCGGCTAAACTCAACTGTTAAGTAATTTATTTCTTGTATGGTCTAATTCAGTCTTTGTACTTCAAAATTCCACTTGCAAGAAGGGACTGATTTTTTTTATAGGAACTCATTCAGTGGAATTCATCCTGCAGGACAGAAGGGATTCAGGAATGTATATGGCATCCTTCTGCAGGAACATTTGAATAATGAATTTTACTTGTAAAATAAATACATTGGCCACATAATAAATAAGCTAGATTTTAGGTTACACTTAAATCTTCATAAGGGGAGTGATGAAAGGAGCAAATGCTTGTTTTCCTTTATCATTGTAGAATATTTTTAAAACATTCTTGTTAACTAATGTCATGCAATTATTTTGTTAATAACACGGGGAAAAGTTAACTATTGAATGCAAACGTAGATAAGGAAGAAGAGGAAAAGAAAACAACATTGATGCAGGGGGAACTTAATTCCTGAAAGGGAAAAGTAACATTAGTCATGAAAAACAAACATGAGTCAGTAAAACACAAAATATGGAACAAAGCTCTAGGTGGCTGTAATTTCTGATAAGTAGGAGTCCCATGACCAAGAAAAAGTACCGAAACTACAAATATGAGTCCACAAAGACCATCCAGACTTAATGAAATTTGTCTTCTAGTCTCTTCCTGTGGGCTGCCAAGTTGTCATTTTGCACTTTCAACGAAATATTGCCAAAAGTCAAATAGATACTAAAGAATCACCCTTCTCTTAGCAGAAAAATTATTCTAGCCACAAGAATAAATTACATACTATTTGGAATTTCTAAAGCAGGCATATCCTTCCCAAAAAGAATTAGAAAGTACTGTATCTCAGAATAGCGGTTATTGTGCAAATACCTCTTTCAAGAAAATATGTACCTTGTAGCAGGTCCAGAACATCAAGGCAGGTAAGCTTTGCTTCCACAAACCCCAACATTTATGTGATTTTCATATGATGACAATGCCGTTGATTATCTCAGAATGAACAGAGTATTTTCAATTGGCTAGAGCTCACTTGAGCATACAAGGGAACGCAAATATGGGATTTTAGATTTTTAACCACTGTCCTTGAGAGATCTCTTTGATCAAATGTTACATAAAGGCCTGTTGGAATGGTAGTTTTAATATAGTATGTTTTTTTCTTCACCCAGTCCACTCTCATTAAAGAAATTAATCAAGGGTGTGATTCTGCCATGTTGGGTAATACCTAACTTCTCAAGTAGCCTCATTGATTTCAGTAGGTTTCAAAGTAAGATCTTCTCAACACATATAAGAGAATAGAAATGAGTCCCATATTTGTTGAGCTCTTAAACTTGGTATAGTACAATAACACCAATATACAATGCATGACCTACTGCCACAGAAGCAACCTCTGTGAGTAATTCACAAACACTACTTAGATTCAGGGTAAGTGGTGACAGGACTTCAACAGCATAACCTACAAAATACTGCTGTAAATACTGAAGTACCATCTTGATAAACATGAATGAGTATGAACAAGAAGCACACATCAAAGTAGGATAACCTGTCTAAATTAATTTCAGATTATTATTGGAAAAATGAATAAATACTATCAGTCCTATGACACTGGAGTGTTGAGAGGTTTTGACAATAGAGATATTAATGTAAAAAGATCTTATAATTGGTGCAAGAGTGACATAAAAGAACTGTAACATGAAAGAAGCTTCCATATAAAGACCACAATAATTATTTCCCCCCAGTGGATATAGTTAATTCCCACTACTGCTAATGGAAATTGTGTGCTTACCAAGGGAAGAATATATTTCTTTATTAAACACAGTAGGTCAAAAGACAAGACATGAATAGCTGAAGTTGTAGAAAATCCAGTGTACCTTACTCGCTGAAGAAATAAAGAGCAGTTCATCTAGGAAAACATATGACCCCTTAATGCAGCCAAATTCAAGGGTATCTGTTATGATCTGCTGTGAAACTGTCGGTTGCACAAGTTTAATCTTCCCTGGAACTATTTTAACTTGCTAATAAGATTGCAAATATTTGGGGAAGAGCAGCCTATGTGGCTTCTACCCTCAACAGGGACAGTTCAATAGGTTGATAGGCATGGTCTGTTGAAGTAAAAACTAGACTGAGCAAGGGACTTCATCTTTCTAATCTCAAGCTCTGGCACTGACTTCCTCTGAAGTCTTCCTGAAGTCAGTTAACCTTTCTGCCTTGGTCTCTCCATCTGTAACATGAGGATACTAAAACCTACTTTCCTACTTATCTACCTCACAAGAACATTTTGAAAAACCCAGACATTTACCCAATTACCAGAATGCATGCAAACCCTGTAATGACTGAGGGCTTATTTGAACAATTGTTTCTTGAAACACCTTCTTAAATGTGATAGACAATGTAGAGGTCGCAGCCAAGCATGTGAGTTCCAGTTCTACATCAGGAGCTTGGTGGCAACCCAATGATTCTCCTTCTCTCTTTTAAATAAAAATAAATCATGTCCCTCAGTGTCCGACACTAGTGCCGATGGGACACCTAGACCTGATCAGTTGTGGGTAAGTTGTCACAACAGTGACAATAAATAGAGAAAAATCTTAAATAATTTAAGAATCTGAACAGGCGATGTTAACTGAAATGTGTGATTCATATATAGTAGAAGTTCAACTTTGGGACATAAGAACAAAGATTACAGATTGTATTCCCATGGTAGACATTGTACAGTTAGATACAATTAAGGACATTCTCACTAATTTAGTAACATAAATTTGAGTAGTCTTAATTTTATCACCATAAAAGTTTAGTTATTGAAATGAAGGACTCCATTCTCAACGTATGCTATAAACATCCATTATAATGAAGGGGGGGATTCTTTTTTCATTTATTGGCAGGGTTTTAAAAATGATTTAACTTTGAAATTGATCTTACCTTTCAAATGTTAATATTTTGATACTGGCTAATAAATGTTTGATTGATATTTTTTAATTTAAGTTTTGCAGTGGATGAGATATCATAGTTTCCAAAACATCCTGTGATACATATAAAAGATCAGCTGTTGAAAACATTAATAATCATCTCAAATGTGAGTCTTTTTTCTGATAATTAGGTACTATGGCTTGATCTCTTACACCAGCTGTTCTCAACCAGGGGTCCGAAGCCCCTTGGGGATCTGTGAGTAAGTTTCAGGGGCTCTGATAGCATTAGACTCACTGAGGGCTAGGGCAGAAAGCTAAAGCCCCACTGTCCAGAGCCCTGCCAACCGGACCTCAAGCTGTAGCCTGAGTAGCTTAGCTTCACAAGGCCCCCTGTGGCGTGGGGCCCTGGGCAATTGCCCTGCTTGCTATCCCCTAATGCCAGGCTGGCTTTTACATGCAGAAAAACAGTTGTTGTGGCACATGTGGGACGGGGAGCTTTTGTAGCATCTTAGGGGGGCCGCAGAAAGAAAAAGGTTGAGGACCCCTGTCTCACACCAAAGAAATCAATGGGAATGGGTTGGGAACTTCCTACCTGAGAGACCGCAGCTGTTCTCATGTCATACTATAGGTACATCTACTCTACACTGCATGTTTTTTCCATCGTGTGTAGAGTACATACACAAGTAGCCCCTGAAGCAAGAGCATAAATAGCAGTGTAATCAATGAGGCATGGCTTAGGCAAATATAATCCAGATATGCCTGAAGGGTGTGGATATGTACCCGAGTACATACCCTACACAGCTCTCTATTCACTCAAGCCATGCCTCCCTGTCTACACTGCTGTTTTTAACTATGTAGTGTCCCCAGGGCCGGCTCCAGGCACCCAAGCACATGCTTGGGGCGGTACCTGGTAAGGGGCGGCGGGGGAAGCGCGGCACGGC